GCCCCCCCCCCCCCCCCCCCCCCCCCCCCCCCCCCCCCCCCCCCCCCCCCCCCCCCCCCCCCCCCCCCCCCCCACAATGAAAATCACCAATATCTCTCCGGCGTGAGCCTCAGCGGAGGGTCCATCTCCGGCCATCTTATAAACGCGATAAACTCATTTAAAATAACAGTACGACTTCCATTTACCTCGCACATACTAATGCTTCTCATCTATATGCATGTACGCCTCTCTACTAAGTAGGTTAAGTTAGGTATGAGGAATAAATAAAATCGAACGGCCAGGCATCCAACAAGATTCATCTAGGCGGCATGCCGTCTTTGAAAAAAAGGGAGGTACAAGGCATTCATTCATCCGTGCCCTCCAGTTTGTCAGACGGCATGAACGGTACGGGGGTCAAGGTTTCTCCGAATCCCGATAGATTCGGGGTGCACGGGGGGTGCATCATACCCGGAACGGTGTGGAAGCATTTAGATAATACATTATTTTAGTGCATATAGTTGTTAATTGTTTATTGTTTTAACGCATAAACATGCTGTATCAAGACAATGATATTTTTCAGCTTTGCCTGTCCTCCGTTTTCCTTCCAGTTCCAATATATTAAGCTTTTTTTTTTCGTCACTCCCCTCAGTGGGTTATATCTCATACCTTAGATCAGTAGCTAGAAGTTCAGATTTCAGATTACCTAAACTGGTGCCTATTAATTTCCTCAATTATTACCTACATCGTACTTCACGAGTATAATACCTACCAGGTACCCAGGCTGACAAGATACAACTTTATTAAAGGAGCAGGTCCTAGTAGTATAAACCCATTTTTCTGACATGCGTAAGACTCCCGAAACACAATCTAACAAGCATAGTAATACTAGTAAGCGACCTGTCACATAGCTACGTGTCCATGTGTTGCACAGGTGCCTGATCAGGTGACCTAGAGCCACCACCAAAACTGTGGCCCCGCTCTCAGTAGGTAGAAATAGAGCAAGCTTCTTTCTACACCTTTCTTGCCTACTAGACGGCAATACCATGTATCCATGGATCATAACACGATATCTTGGCGTCCGCCTACGTAGGTAGCATATACTATTGTACGTAAGTAGATAGGTACAGTATCGTGAATTGATATCATACTCGAACGCCTCGAGAACTTAACCACTGGAGCCGTACTTGTAATTCTGTGGATCCGCGGAGCGTCTAAGCTGTCAAGTGCGTACGACAGCTGAACATGATTTGGCGCCTACGCATAGGGGATATAGTCCATACACTACAGTAAATACTAACGCATGCCGGCTAATATAGACTAGACTTGGTACTAGACCACCGTTCCGCTGCTAGCGTAAAGGGCAGAAGATATTTCATCTCCACCGGCGGAGTGACAAGTGCAGATCATTTTAGATCATAATCGGCATTCGTTGGGAACTTTAGAGTGAACAAAAAGAGGAGCCGGCGTCTGGGCCGTCGGAGCTATACTAGCAGTGAGGCGGCTTTTCCGTGGATTTGTCATGCGCTCTTGACTCTTATCACCATCGTAGGCGAATATTCAAGTTGAGATTTCTCCGGAGACCCAGCCGCGCGGTATGAGTCTTGGAGGCCTCGGCGTGGAAATTCTCACTAACATAAGTAGTATTCAAACTAGAAAAGTTTGAGTACATTTTGACAACTTATCCCCTCTGGGGTATCCCGTCCTATAGATGGGCGTCTGCATCCGAGCCATGGCGACAAATTTTTTTTAGTGAAACTGTCCCCGTATTACCTTAGCCTACCGGTTCGATAACGAGATGGCCTCTGTCTTAACTAACCCGGTCATTTATAAGCCTACGACACACACTGGACGCTAGCATGTCAAAATGTGAAAAATTCTAATTCGGGTCAATGATGGGGTTGGGTTTAAAGACAGAGACGAAATGTTAAGCAGAGACTTGAAGGCGAGCTAAGTTAGTAACAATACCTAGCAACTTTCTTGTGGCCGGGTAGTCTAACCCCTATCCCAACAAAATAGACTCGTTGCAGTACTTCCGCCAACTGAATCGTTCGTCTTATATCGTGGTGCCGAGGAGATAAAAGAAATTCACTAAAGTTGAAGATATTGAGGAGAGAAGGGGACTCGCCTCCTGATATTCCCGGGATTCTAACGATCCCCGCATGCTCTCACTCTATGGCGGGAAGTTAATATATTGTGGGTGTTGTGTAATAAGTAGAAACCATAAAACAGCCTAAGAAATAGAGATTTACCTATTTATGTCAGGCTTGTCGTAAAGTGGATACCTACGGGAAGGAGGACAGATCAAGGCGATCGTCTGTAACCGACGGGTGATGAATTGGATGTTATTGAGTTTACCAGGCACAAAAGCTCTTAAGTTGGCAGGCTTGCTTTGTAAGGTGTTAGTACCTAAGGTTGGCCCCCATAGAATCAACGAAGGTTTCCTACTAGTTGTTACATTTAGGTAATCCAATGAAAACAAAGTTGCGGTATCTTTTCTCGTCTCATGTTGTGTTGAGTACAATGCCCAGAATAGTTCGAGCCAACAATTCAAGCGTCTAATCGTCCCGAGGTTAGGTACTCATCCGGAAAGCGACGAGGGCAAATTCGTCAAGAACGTTAATTGACTTTCTTATTGGATCCTTAGCTAGGTACCTAGGTACGTCGTTCCGAATATAAACGCCAGCTAAACAGTGATGGAAGCCAATGACAGATCTAATACATGACACATGCATGGTAAATTGTTGGAAAATGAGTACTTGATATTATATGACTCCAGACTACGCGAACATACATCCAGGGGGTGCGGCGACAAGACATTATAACCGTTACATATAACCGTCTTTTCTCCAGCGCGGCTCAAGTGAGATGTTTCAGATGTCATTATCAATATCTGAGACCCATCAGCAAAGATTCGAGACATGACTAAAAGAGGGGATTCCTCGCCCCCTGAAGGCGAAGAGACATTGACTTTATTTTCTATTTTTATTTTATTTATTTTCTTGTCCGGAGAGAGTGCCATTATATCTCAGGTTCAAGAGCGGACCGGCCGGAGATCCGTGCTACGGCTACTAGGTATCTTCGGTAGACAACCTGGGGAACAAAGAGTTTGTGAGAGAAGAAAAGAAAAAATTCGTCCAAGGTGCGCTGGCTGTACCTTAGATAGCTTTTCGTACCACCGTGTGTATATTTAGGTACCTTACTTATGTAGCCAAATGGACGAAGGTGAGGGGGGTGACACTATCTTAGACTAAGACACACTTCAGATGTCATACTAATGTACACTAGGCTTGCCCGCCTATGATAATTGACTACTATCTAGATGGGTGCCACTACGCAGACCCCATTAGACGGCAACCTCCGTAGTTGATGACTGAACATCACAGGGCTCACGGTAATATTTGCAAATGAATCTGGCCAGAAGCTCCGTAATCAATGAGATGGCCCATGTATACAGTCTCTACCTAGCCTACCTAAAGTACCTAAGGTAGTATGAAGAATGAATGCACCTGTCACCTTCGTCTAGAATAGATTAGATCCCGTCGATATATCTCGCCAGCGGGTATTTGCTCAAGTCTTCAGTACGGCAGCATTCCTTGGTTCCCAACCCAGTGGTACTTTGACCCACTGCATGAGTTGGGCCGGCACCATGAGCAGGATGGCACGACGTCTGCTTATAGCAGAAGAAGTGAGCCCATTTTCGGGTTCACAACTTTTTCTTTTTAGTGAGAGCAAAGCACCGAACGTACGTCAGCTGTTTTGCAACGCCTGTCGTCATCCGAATCCAGTATGGAAATATGCCTGCCGCTGGGTGGTAATCTGGGTTAACTGATGAAACTGTACGATGCGGCGAGATTAGGTGGCCGTCGCGATGAGTTTGGTAGCCAACGGATTTCAAGAAAGGCATCCTCCCATGCTCGCGGGCATCTGCATTTAATCTATCGATCGGAAGGGCGGTATGCAGGACAATATGTAGGATGTAGGTATACATATCTTAGGTACCTACCTACTTTATATTGGGTAGGTATTTATTTTCTTTTCTGCAATGGTTCATACGAGAGCGCCTGTAGCTATCTTAGTAACGAAAGTAGATCTCTTATAACACTCGGAACGGATCCCGGCTTATGGTTGGATCCATGGGGTGTTTTCACCTTGGTTCGGAAACAATCCGTAGAACCAGGTGCATGCTTTGGCCCGGTAAACGATATTAAGTATTTGACGTCTTTCTATCATCCGGATAATGCACTGTTGACTTAAGGCTAAATTGTACACATACAGCTATGCTGCCCCCATATCCTTCGCTTCGATAAGTGAACTTCCTAACCAATCCAAACTAATATACAGCCGCCCCTTTGTTTTGTGGGATTCGAACCTTCTGTAGTATTCAAATCATCATTTCTCTTGAATCTAATGCCCCCAAATACTCCGATTGCTTGACGTCGTAGTTATCCCATTACGCATAACCCAACCAGTACTTAAATTTCATATACAAAATGCTGCTGGAAGAAATGTCCAAGGCCAGCTCGTACCAACCAATTTGTTCTCGAGAACAGAGTAGGTCGAGAATAGAGTTGGTAGAGTCTTGCAATGTGAAACCACCACAATCCGTAAAATTAGTCATAATACAAAGACAGCCCTCTTGCAAGGGGAGCATGAGCTTGTCATATACTGCCTCGGTTGATACCCGTGACTCTGCGTCGCTTGAAAGACTCTAATTGGACGTCGTGGGGTGCACCAACGTCTTCATCGCTTAACAGTCTGCCGTCTGCATCGTAATCGTTTCGTTCGGTTGAAGGGAGTAGATTTTTCTCCGCGACGCGCACAGTCATGGCATCTGCTTCAGCACGGGCATTCGAGATCATGTTGGGTAGTTGTCGTCGTCTCGCATTGATAAACCAGTTGGATATCTGATCTGTTACAAACGCCTGGTTAATATGGCACAGCCCAATCTGCGAAAGTTTTGGTGGTATATATCTATCCGTGCTTTCTTTTTTTTTTTTTTTTTTCCTCAGCCACCCGACAACTTCTGTTCCAATCTGGAGGCGTGCAAATTCGACAATTGACCAAACTTACTCATTTGTAATCCGGTTTGCTTCATTAATTGTTGCTTTTCCTCTTCTGTCGGATATGGGTGTGATAAATGTGAATGAAACCAGGCGCGCAGTTTGTCGGTTGTCTCCTTTGGTAGATTCCCACGTCGTTTCCGCTGCTTTGCTTCATAGTGTCCTCCGATGGCGATATCGCGAACCGGCATGTAGCTATCGTTGTATTGATGACCGTACCCTATGGGCGACTGCACTGGGGAATACATCGACGGGCGGTCAAAGGGATGGGCAGACCCTAGAGAAAGTGACTGCACTCTATTGGGATGATGGTAACCATGGTGATAGCCAGAGGGTCGATATGTAGGTGTGCTTCTCTCTATACCATAGTTGTTAGTGCTGATGTTTTCTGGGGTTCTCCTTTTTTGGTGGGTTTCTCGAATGTGGCCATTGTTTGCAAAGCATGGGAATGCATTAGCCACGGGTCTATCTCGAATGATATCCAGCATGGCTAGTTTCCATAAAGTCGATTGATGCTCTGCTTGTTCACCAGGACCTGGCTCTGAGAGACAGTGTGGGGGATTATCATCGCCAGTTGCATAACGATCTCGATTTGACTTACTCCATGCTTCTATATCTGTCCTAGGACCAGGAGGCGGTGACGCCGATCGATAAGGGCTTATACTCGAACTGGTGCATAACCTTGGAACCGAGATTGTCCTCCCAGCATCCCTTCCATCCTCGAAGTTTCTCTTATAATAGACAGATGAGTGTGTATATTCTGGAGGCGTTATTTCGCCACTAAATGACCTCCGAGCAGGGCTAGGTACGGAAGGCCGTGTCGTAGCTACAAAGTCTTGTTGCAGTTGCCGTTCAAAATCGGGGAAGGCCTAATAATTTGTCAACGACATACTTGATTCGACCGCAGTGAAGTCTACCTGTCTGATAGAGGGTAGAGAAATTTTCTCGCCTTCCCTAGAAGATGGTTCAGGGCGAGGAACAGCCCGATGGAGCTCCCGAGATAAGCCGGAATTGTAGGGTGAATATATTGTCATGGTAGACATGTCGTAGATAAACAGCTGCCTGTATACACCTTGGTTTATCACCTACTATTAATATTATCAACTTGACAGAAATCATAGTCAAGTCACGGGATATTCCTTACCTATTCTGGTCCACTTTCTTTTTTTGTGTAGTGGTATGTAATGTCTACCCGGGAAGCATCACAGAGACCTAGGAGAGCCTATCAATGTTCTGAAAAGGTATTATCGTCAAGGAAGTAATATTTTATTTTCAGGGGACAATATAAGTAGGTACCTAGGTAAGTTTTATACCTATCTTGAGTAGAAGCTTAGGTGGGTATACATCCGGTCCAAAACGCCGGAAGAAAGAAGGAACATGTCGCCAGTTTGGAGGCGGAAGTCGCTTCTATGTAAATTAAAGATGCGAGGTTCTTTGAAGGTGTGGAGAGGTATGGAGATACGTTTCGACGCACTAACTAAACCGCAATAAGCCCAGGATGCGAGGCATTGACAAGGATAGCGTACATAGATGCTAAGACAACGTTCAGGGTATGAAGAATACATACCTAGGTTGAAATACATACATAGTAGTAGAAGACCATAGCCGTGGACTAATCTGTACCCACCTCCCCACAGGCGGTTACTGGTAGTGTGGCGTTCTGCGGGCGTTGGACTAAAGACTGACAAGCTAGCCTTTGGGGTGGTACGTTTCCTCAGGGCCTACATGGCATGTACAATACATACCTGTATGTAAGGTTACTGGGTTACTAGAAGTGCACATGGCTCAAAGGGTCTGGCTAGCCTGACTTCTTACGCAGTAGGTTGACAACAGGCTTGGCTCCATAGCGACACTGGAACCACAGGACGAAGGGCCAGCGTTGGTAGTAGTATTGATGTACATGCAGGGCAGGGGTCGACCCCGGACCGCGACGGTTATTGATTTGGTGCCAGATGAAATTGCCCGATGAGAAGTAATACGCTACCGGGGTTAACCTTAGACACGTACCATTGCATGCACGCGATGCATTTGGAAGACCGGATCGAAGTCTCCCCCCTCCTTGTAAGCCTTGCAAGATGGATCTGAGCTTTTTATCAAAAGGGGGAGGATTTCCCAGCCAAATAAATCAAAGAGAGGTACATGGAAACCTAGCACGTGTCCATCAGCAAGCATGTCGAAGCATGTCAAATATCGACTCGAAGATAGCTTGGTGGCATAGCCGTTGTCAAAGCATTCGAAATACTATTAGTGACGGTGATGAAGGTAGGAGATTAAATCGGACGGTCAACTACCTAGTTGATACTTTAAGGTTAGATAGTTTTCAAGCCCATACCCAGGGCCGTGGATCAGCTAAAGAAAGACTAATAAGATACCTACCTAACAAAAAGCATCAGAAAGCCGTCCCAATGCTATTGTTACCAAAACAGCCGTCTGTATCCTACCGTCCCGGAGGAAGGTTCCTGCAGTTCGCCACAGAACACCCTTCGAGACTATATAGGCTACCCTAACTTATATACGGCATGACGCAGAGGCACACCCGAAAAAGATAGCACTGGTGAAAAAGGCTAACCTTCTTCTCCCCCGTTATGAAGGAAGCCGTTGAACTTAAATTGTTTTTTTTTTAATATTTCATATTTTATAATTTCTTTCTCTTGTTTTTGGTTGAAGATGAAAACTGGCCGTTTGGAAGCTTCGATTTTTATGTATCATGTATGGAATTAGCTTTCGGTAGGACGCCGTGGCAATGGGTGGGTGTCGTTACCCTTGGCATTCGCCTCTTTTTATCCTTTCTTTTTAAAGCTTGCTAATTCTTTGAGACGATATACTAAGATACTCCGTTATATCCTCGTTATATCCTCTTTATATGCTTTAGGTTAGGTATATTATGTAGTATTTGCATTGGCATTAGCATTAGCTAATTCGACCCAACTTCCCCCCATCAAGACCCTGGCCCTGCATTGCACAAAGTTGAGTTATATTAATAAGTCCCATCTCTGTTGATCCGATTTTACTGGGTAAGCCGTTCCTCGTCTCTGCCCATGGGGCCGGCGGGCCTTCATGAGTCCTAGATGACAGAGTGATTCGTGACAAGAAATCAGGGGTAATGAATCGTGTTAGATGTTAGTGTGGGTTTGTGCAATGCTCATGAAATAAGCCCACATAGCATATATAACAATTGTACAATTATATTGTGTCTTACCTGATAGGTTCAACTTGAGGTATTACTCCTTAATAATTCCAGAGCCGGGGGAAATCTGAAAATCTGGAAATCTGCCAAGGATATATCCATGTTTGTCACGCCTGGAACGGCATAATCCAATAAGCCAATAACTTCAAATGCTTGATAAATGTTTTTCAATTAGCATATCAGTCTTATCACCAACAGGAAAAAAAAAAAAAAAAGAGAGAAAAAAAAGGGGAAACGCAAGTCTGAAGTAAACAAACTACAAGGATAATTCAGTCCCTCCTGTTCAGCTTTTTTTTATAAGGGCTTATGTAAACACCGGATAAAGCCAAAGGTTATTAAATACCACCCGTGCAACTTTTGATATAATACCCTCTCCCCTTCCTTTCTTACTCTGTGCCGTTGGATCCTTCGCTTCAGCTTGATATCAAACACAAGAAGGTTTCCTTCGTTATTACACGTAACAGGTAGCTTGGCCTTCCAATTTCAGGCCTAGTATGATGTACATACACCGATCTCAGCCTATATTTCCCATCTACACAGCTAAAATTATCCTTAGTAGGCAGCTTTGACATTAAGTACATCGATATATGAATATATTTAGACGTTTTCCATGTTCCTCAAGTTATAGCCAATCAGGCTATGCAACCAGCGAATCGGAAATTTCCAGCTAAGTCTCAGGCGAGTCATGAGCCGAAACCTGAGCGGCCTGCCGTTTGCATACAATGCGTTCTGCCTTCACCGAGCGCCAATAGAAATGGGTAAAGGCTACGATGCTAATAAAGGTCACCTTAGGTTAAGTAGCGTTGTGGCGAATGCTTATTTGATATCCATACCATAACATTATGGATAATTGCTAGGACTGTTTCCTAGCACTACTACTATGTAAATCTCGGACGCTTTCCGCCGACCGAACAGTTAGCTCTGCCCATTACGATGTATCGAGTCATAACATTGTGGCGGAAACGGAAACTGCCTCACAGTATTGCTGCAGCGTACCCAGGTGGATTCCCGCTAAGCGGCCACGGCGACCATTCGGGAATGCATAATAACATGTACTGTATTAACATACATGACGGTATGCGTAACCTTTATCTAGTGGCATCCGCCCCGATGGGTACGCGATGAACCCCTCTGTTACTCTAGCCGGCTGTCAAACCTCGTCGGGTTAGCATGTTTTTGGTAAAATCCCCGTACCCCGTTCATAGACGATCCGCATCATCCAAGGCTTCAAGACAGATCGGTGCCGAGTCGTCATATGTCTTCATACATTTCATATGTTATGATTGGTTCCCCGTACACTCCTCAGTAGCTGTCAATCTCGTGCTAAGCTGTTCGCCTCACTGTAGGACAGTTCGGGAAAGACAATATGAGCCTACAAACCGCAATTAGCAGCGAGGCTTTATTTTTGAAGGGATCCTATGTTGTGGCATGAACAGCGCGATCGTAAGGGTCCGAGTCAGTTAGCAAGAGTACCACCTAGTAGCGTGTAGGGCTTGTTCGGGGTCTATTCGAGGCCGATGCTCTATTTTTTACAGCCGGGAAGCGCGGGTTGACAGACTGCTTTCAAAATACAGGCGCTAGGCGTTGTCGCTAACACCGTAGTGCATAGATCTATATTAGGCAGTACGGCCTTTATACGCTGAGCTTTTCATGCAGGCTATCCCCCCCAGAACATGACAGACAAACCTTTCATGAAGCCCGGGCTGATATGTGTATATGAAAATGGGATGCGAGCTTATCATTCGAGGAAAGATAATGGCTAACGCTAGGGATGAAATATCTTATCCCCTGGCACCCCCCACCTGGCTTTCCTCGTCAACTTGTGCGGACTTTCACCGCATATGCTCTCACACCTACTGCGCAGGTAATAAAATAGACTAGGTACCTAAGTAGATACCTACCTAAGGTAACCTAGGTAGGTAGTTAGTAAAAGTAAAAATTCCTGACACCTGGTCAAAATTAGTTAGAGGCCGGATGTGTGTGGTTCCATCCTAAAATTGTAGTTTATTGTAGTGTTATCCTTAAATTGTCTAGGCTCTTGGAGATCTTGATCCGGTTGGTCCCAAGTGTAAGTTAGGTACGATCTGAAGTTTGGCCGTACATACTGCCAAGGGTTGCAGATCTATTTCCCCATCAAAGCAAGGGGCATCTTTCGTAATCCCGAGAAGCTGGGGTGGTGACAGAACGATCCCGTGCGCCGTCCAAGCGCCTTGTGTTCGTAACGTGGTGTGCGTGGTGTATAACTGGCCCAATGGCGTTACCAGGCGCACAAGAGAGAGACAACGACAGCGGAACAGCTGCAGGTCAATGAATCCGGATCCATGACCGCAAACCTGGTTCCCGGGTTCCGTCAATGTTGATCTTGCTCATTTGTCACATCTCAACCCTGCCAACTTTTCGACCCGGTGCATATATGGTAACCACCATCCTGCCGAGACACAATTAAGCTACTGGTACATTAGTAAATACAAAAAGAAAAGAAAGAAAACGAACAGAACGGTTATTTTCTAGCTTGGTGTTCACATTTGTCATTATATTCTGGGGTAAAGTAAACTGCTTATAGTTACTTACCTCCTAACTTCCTGATAGGTATTTCTATAATAAGAGACAGGAAGCGATAGGTTAGTAGGTACCAACCTAAAGTAAGATACGGTCCTATTTGAATTCGAAATTTCAGCCTCAAATTAATTAGTCTACAACGGTAACCAGAGGCGTATTTACCTAAAGTTGGGCACTGAACTTGGTTTATGCAGATGCGCTGAACTCTACTTTGCCTATTCGGTGGCGGACGAATGACGGAGGTACGGGGACATGAAGAAAAAAGATCGGAAGAGAAGAACACGGAAGTCCGGCTGATTACTTTGCATACTTGACATCAATATTGATCATGCACATACACATACACATACGTATTAGGTATAATATAGGTTAGTAGGTAGTATAATCAACCGCCTTCACCCCACGATCCTCTATGATTCCCCGCGATTATTTACCTTAGGAGGTACTTTTAAAGATATAG